CGACAACGCCCCTTCTGTCTATTAGCTCCTGTGTCCGGTCTGTAATGGGCTCTATACACGCACCACTTCCGCTTTTTAGTTATAACCCCACTTGACTTCCTGTGTTTCCCTGGAGTTCAGCAGATGTTTACACAAGTTTCCTAAATAATGCAGCAGTGCTCTTTGATTGTGCTGTCATTGTGCTTTTATAAAGTTAACTAATCTCTCTGAGTGGCCACAGTCAAAGCTATCAAAATAAATATCAATCTAATTACTAAAAAACGTCACTACAACTCACCCAAAAGTCATAGCGATAGCATAGACAGAAAGTGAACGGGTTGTTCTTTGTTAACAGGAAATGACGTCACGCCTCCCCGTGCATATAGCCCATAGTATGATGTCATTGGTTCACTATGACATCATCCTCAGAGCAGTTCTTCCTTTTAGAACAAAAGTGCTGCATCAGAGGGAAATTTGTCAAGTAAAAGGATTTGTTATGTACAATGCTGAGTTTACAGATGGTACTTTATATTCCTTCCTCTAGTGCAGTGTTTTTCAACCAGTATGCCATGGTACATTAGTGTGCCTTTGGAAGCCGTTTGGCGTGCCTTGGGAAATATTCCAAAATCACACAAATGGTCAGAATACTGTGAAAAGATTTGAAAGATTTTTTTAACTTGTTTTTTTCCACATATGACCTTGCTTTCATACTAAAACCACAAGTTTTGTGTTTATCAGTTTCAGCAAACAAAAAGGTGTGCCACGGCAAAAGATCACACAAAAAGATTGTGAAACATTGCTCTTCTGATCATTTTTCCCTTCATTTTTGTTTCACCATAATTTCTAATTAAGATATCATTGAAATACTAAAACATAAAATACATGTTTTATTGGCCAACAAATATGCAAATATTTATTCATTAGGAGGTAAATTGAATACTGGCAGTTGCTTGTTTGTCTGGTTGTCTGTGTTATGTACCAATCACAGATCATATTCACACAACTTGAAGACGGTCCTGATTTACAGATGTGTGCATTGCTGGTTATCTAAACACATGTTTTTACCACTCGTGCAATGGAACTGAGTGAATTCAAGCTCAGTTTTGAATGCATCATTTTGGGAAGAACATACACAGTGTACATAAGAAGCCTATACAGGATCTGATCCAAGTAAATTCAGTACTTGTTATGCAAAAATAAAATAAATATAATAACAGACTAGAAACAAGCTAGAAAAAAGAGAATCAGTGATCATCCTTAACATTACACAACAAATGTTTTGAATCTTGTTTAAATTGTGTTAGCTTGTGTTAGCATGGGGAGAAAAGAGCTGGAATGGTCCCTTTTTCGAAGTGTCTCCACAGTTGATGTTCCAGTGACGCAGAGGCCTAAAGTGCTGTAAAGTCTCCCGCGGGTGCTGGGGCGACAGGTTTCCAGAGCTATGAGTCAAGTGCTCACGCTGGAGGGTTCTGTTTTTGAAATACTTTTGTCCATTTAGGCCACTTTGTACTTTTACTGGGACACATTTTCCTTTGCTCCTTTGAATAAAACATTGTTCTCAGTGTTCACCAATATCTGTTCAGAATGCAATTGTGTGTTGCAGTGAAGTCAAACATGAAGTTACTATTCTCACCGTCTCCTCGCCGAACATGATCTGCCTTTGTCGTTGACTTCTGAAATACAGAAATCCCATTTGGAACCAACACTGCATTTTTTCACACGCAATTAACTTAACAACTATTTTCTTCACAATTTTGGTCAATTGGATCATAATTGAGTACAACTAAAGTACACTAAAGTGCACAATAAACATTAGCCAAAGGTAGATGCATTGTACCAGGTTGTAGCAGCAGAGATAATTTACACCTGTTGTCCCTGAGCAGGTTGTTGTTAAACAATAAAATAAGTAGATGGATACATTATCATACCAGGATAGAACTAAATTTACATACGTTATCAGACAGAAAATACAACATATTTTACCACACTTTATAATAAAATAAAACCACCCATCCCCCATTCTTTACTTTTATACTTATATTCCTATACTGAACTCTCTCTCACACACACACACACACACACACACACACACACACACACTTCACTTCATGGAAAACCTTGATATATCCATTAAGCTCCATTTATGTATTGCTTCCCAGCGGTGTAACCCCCCTCACACATGCATCCACACATTCGCATGCACTGACATAAGCACGCGAGAAACATAAAATATACATTAGGGGTGTCCAAACGTTGTGGTCAGAGAGCCGTTTTAGTTACCAGTTGGGGTAAGGAGAGAGGGTGACAACTCAGATTGTAAAACTGGATAAATGCTTTTTTGGACTTTGAAATTAGATATGACAAGTCCATTTTGATTCACAATTGTCAAAGCTGAAGTTGCAGAAAGACAAATATTTATTTTCTCATAAGCTACATTAGCATTGGTGGTGGAATTTTATGCCATGATCACTAATAAATGTGGGTTTTATCAAAACAAAAAGTGGAAGTTGGCTGGATGACACTGTGAATTTATGTCTGTGAACACAACAGCTCAATAAGGGTTGAGGAGGCACAGGGCTACATTCATTTAAATTGGTTTTGGGCATGTCTGGGCTAGATGAAGGTACAATTAGCCTACAAAGCACCATCTGATGAACAGTCTGCAACAGGAGCAGAGAGCACAAGAAACAAAAGGGGAGAAAATGAAGAGGAAAAAAAACCCCTGCTTGCTCCAAATTGATGCATTTTAAGGCTAGATTATTTATTTCTGTTTTTTTGTGAAGAAATATTTGTTGAAACGTTTGCATATCCATAAACATGTTTGTTGCACATACCACGGAGACTATTATTCGCTCACACTCAGGGCTATGTTGAAAAACCTGCAATCCAATAATAGTCCTCATTACAGAGATTGTAAAACTGCCTGAAAATAATATCTCTGAGTCTTTGGTGAAACATTTGGCTTAAAAAAAAAGAAAATAAGAATGCAAAACTTTACACAACACTCTGCATCTTCCATTTTACATTTTACCTGGGGTCAAATCTGTCAAACGTGGGAGGTGGTGGTGCGAATGAATCCTGGCGGTGATAAAAATAGTAACATGTGCGCTCGTGGGATAAGCTGTCTGAATGCTGGCTCCGTACACCTGATAACAAACTGTAATTTCGCGACTTTTGGCTGAAGGCAAAGTCATTGGATTGACTATAGAGAGCCATCCTTGTTTGTCACCGCTGCCCTTTGTGTCCCATTGCACCATCGCTCCTATAGCCGCGGGGTGTGTATTGTGTCACATTTTTAATCAATGAATAATAATTTCATTGCCTTAATATCGCTCTTCTTTTGGAAGTCGCAGCTCAACGTGTGGGAAATTGCTTTTGTAAATGACTTTTTTTGTATTTATGTAAATGTCATCTTTCCCCTATTTAAAGTTCCGACCTTTCTGAAAAGTAATATTCAAACAAAATGCTGCTTCTACATCTCCGCACAATCGCTTCATGTCAGACATTTTGACGAATAGAGAAATATTACGCGGCTCGGTCTAATGTATTTCTTTTCAATGTATGATAAGCAATACCTGCACATTTATTTTTTGATTTTATATAGGCTACCAATCATCTTTTTTGTTCCTTTTCTTCCTAGACATGTTTCCAGGGTTCTACTAAACGTGCAGTTAAAGGTCAGATGGTGAATTAATAAAAAACAAACCACAGTCACTCTTGGCTTTAATAATGTCACTGTCTTAATTAACTCACCTATCTGCCACGCGGAACCCGTCTCCATTCTCCCACAATATCTGTAACAAGTTTAAATCAAAGTGGAAGTGCCCGGGGCGGAAGACTTCCCATGTTAGTATGCAATCATCTAGACTTTCCAACAATGTGCAAGAGACTCAGACTGTCAAGACTCCATGCTGTCTTTGTCTTATTAGAAAACATTTTCAGTTTTGCACATTTAAACAATACAATACAAAAAAAGAGCCATATAATTCACTATTTGACTTTTTGGACTGGATCTGATTGGCAGAGTGAGTGCAGTCCAAGCGCCCTATTCAAATGAATGGCTGGTGCTCAGTAGCACATGGGACCGAGAGATTAGCGGAACTCTATATTGGGCATCGCCTGGTCCTCCCGGTTCTTCGCAGTGGACGAGCTCCCATGATGCGTTGCATCAAATACGCGTGTGTGGCTCTCATGCTCGACTGCGCTCTGACCAATCAGAGCAGCGGTAGAGCGGAGCCAGAGCGGGAGGGAAACGAGCAGAGTTTCTGGCAGTAAATTGTGGATTTAAAGAAAACCGAAGGATTTAAGAAGAAAAAAAGTTCAGGATGACAAGGGACACTAAACACTAAAAGCTGTAAAGATAGATCTTAAACTTTCTACAGAGAGATTAAATTTATCTGAAAAACTTTTATTATTCCTTAGTTATTACTGGAGGCAAAGTCCAGAGCAATAGACTTTACTAATGCATTTGTGGAAGACTGCCTTCTTCCACAAATGCATTAGTACAGTCTATTGTTGTCCAGTCTAAAGCCAAAAACAGCCACATAGTTTCTTACTGAGTCTATGACGCTGTTTTAAACCTAATTTTCCTTACCCTAATGACACGGATTGGAACATTCTTACAGCTCACACTACGCCAGAACCAATCTGTCAATCTCAAACAAGCTTTGCCCTGAATGAGCTACACCAGGAGGACCAACTGGTTCTACAGAAGTCCCACTGAGGTTTTTCTTCCAACCCATCAGGAACATTCTGGACTGTGCTCATATCATCAGGTCTTCAGGTCGAGCCAGGAGTCTTGTCCTGCTCTGTCGGACTGAGACCGCAGCCACACCTCCTTCTGAACCCGCCGGACCTCCCTGATGTCCAACACGGTCTGGACTGAGACCCAGACTCGTGTGAGACCATTTTGTGCAGAATCAGCAAAGCAAAATCTGCAGGTGTTTGTGTTACCCACCTCAAAGCTCCAGATGCGCCGACAGCCGAACAAACTCTCCAGTACATTCTGCTTCTTTTGCAACTTAAAACTTATCTGGACAACCCAAACCCAACCTGGCAACCCCCTCCTGGAGCCATGAGGTAGTTGCCATGTCATGGCTGATGCACTCAACCAATTGAATACTCGTTTAGAAGTTTTTGGATGTTTTAAGTATTTTTTTGTTGTCTTTTTTTTTTTTTACCAGGAACGTCCCACTGAGAATCTCTTTTTCAGTCCTGGTCCCTCAGTGAGGGGAGCTATTTTCCATGTTTTTAGTGTTAGCGGAAACCGGAGCACCCCGAGGAAACCTACGCAGACACGGGGAGAACATGAAAACTCTACTCAGAAAGGTCCTTTTTCAGTGAGGATTCGAACCCAGGACCTTCTCGCTGAGAAGCACAAGTGCAAACCACTCGGCCACCATGTCCCAAAGGGATTTACTTTCTTGCGATTCCACCTGAAGTTTGCAGCCTTGCATTTCGTCTTCTCCTTTAGTTCTTTAGCCCGTTTTTTCTCCTCCTGAACGTCCTGGTCTTTCTGAGCAAACAGTTGGACCAGGCTCCTAATGTTCACACCTAGCACCCTGTGCACCTGTCTAAAGTATACGGTTTCTGGCTCAGGTTCAGACGCGCTTCCATCGCTAACTAAAGCTTCTATCACGGTTTCTTTCTCTATTGCGGTCTCTAACTCTTTTTCTATCGCGGTCTCAACTTCGGCCTTTATCGTGGTCTCTACCTCGGTCTCCACTTCGGTCTCCACCCCGGTCTCCACCTGGGTCTCCACCTGCGTCTCCACTTGGGTCTCCACCTGGGTCTCTACCTCAGTCTCCACCTGGGTCTCCACCTGGGTCTCCACCTGGGTCTCTACCTCAGTCTCCACCTGGGTCTCCACCTGAGTCTCCACCTGGGTCTTGTTGTATTTATAAATAAGTGACATTCTAAAACCATGTGTTTTATGATCTATCGACCTCTGAGTGGCAGGCCAGTCCTTTTTATTTTAATTTTAGGGGTCTTCTTGGGGGACCAGCTAAATAACAGGTGGGTTCTGCTGTTTGGATTTTGTCCCCCTAGCCTTGGCCCCTGCTGACTTCTGCATTATTGACCCCACTCCATCAGGAGTGGGTTGACACTGGAGTCTGCCAGTCTACTCACTACTTGTTTAGACAAGCAGGGATGAATCCAGACCAGAGACAGCTGCCCGGAGACACGTAGGTTAGAAAAGGATGAATTCTTTTTAGGTGCAGACTGGAGACGGAGACCAGATGGAGGAAGGCGGATCACGGGACCCTGGAAGCTGCCTAATACCACGCCCCTTCTTCCCCATGCACATTTTACTTATAGTAGATAGTTTGAATGTGTGGTTAGTTAGTTCTTTCTGGACCAGGGGCAGTGTGTAACTTGATGTGGAGCGCCCACTCAAAGTCATACTTTTATATTTTATATAGAGAATAAGGGATAGTTACTTTTGGTCCGAACAGCTGTTTTAGATTCTTTTTGTATTAGGGAAATAAACCTTTTTGAATTTAACTTTCTGAATCATGGTTATCTTTATAAGGGATTTTGAACACGTCATTTTTTAATAGGTTAGTCTCCACCTGGGTCTCCACCTGGGTCTCCACCTCGGCCTCACCCTTGGTCTCCACCTGGGTCTCTACCTGGGTCTCTTCCTGGGTCTCTGTCTCTAACTGAACAGACTCCTTCATAAACTGATGGGTTTCCTGTTTAAGTTGAGTCACATCGTCTTCTAACCTTGTGATGTCGAGGGTCATGGACTCGTTAACCTCCAATCGAGTCCTGAGCTGACGATCTTTCTCTGGTAACTGGAGCTGCATCTGTCGTAGCTCTTCTTTGAGGCTTCTGTGGGCTTCCTTCCACTGCGCCTCTCGTGCTTGTGCCAAACCCATCAAACGGCTCATTCTAGTCGTGGCTACTTCTAACTGATCTTTGACCTCAGTTACGGTCTGATCCTTGGCCTTCTGGAGCGCCAGGATCTGTTCATCTCGAATATTGGGTTTTTCTTGAGCTTGTTTGAGCTGCTCTCGAAGACCCTCCTGTTCGGCCCAGTGTTCAGTCAGTGTTCGGATCAAGTCCTTGTCTCTGGCCGCGCTCCGCTGCAGCCACAGAAAAAGAGCATTTTGACTCGGAGTCAGTGAATTTTTACATTGTTCTTAATGGGGAGATTTACTTCCTGTCCCTCGGAGCAGGTGCAACCTAGCAATTCTTGGCTTGCAGTCAATCAACTTCCGCTTGATGAAGTGGTAGGAATTCTGATAGGAGGTCTTCGTTGCTTCATGCTGTATCCATTCTGTAACATCTTTAAAATCTTTGTTTGTGCTGTTTCTACCATAAACAATAAAACATGTCTTCTGTCTGAATTAAAGACACGATCCTATACTGTCATTTTCTTCACTTTAGATTCTAATTTTCAAGATCAATACATCGAAAAAGTCAAATTGTGTAACAGTACAGATCATAATGCGTTATCCAAGAATGATTTGATATGATTGATATTTGATATCTGCCAGTTCAGTTCCCGGATATCTCAAACTATCTAGTGTTACAATCAAGCTTTTGCACTGCCAAACAAAAGCTTGGATGCCTAAACTTTTTTGTCTGTGGGTGGATTAAGGAACTCGGAGTTAAGGTCCCAAAGGACAAATCCTGCATCATAAAGAGCCGTGTAAGTAACGAGTGCTGTATGAACTTGTCATGTTCAACAAAACGATGTGACAACATTTGTGCTGTGTTCTTTTCAGGTCAAACATTCACAGTGTTCATCTAAAATGGCAACTCATTCCTGAAAGTTAATTAAAAAAAAGATGGGGATATAATAACTGCGCATTGTGACTGCATGGCTGGGTAAATAAATAATCCTTCGATGTAAAAGTGTTTGCTAGTCACATGTTAGCCAGCCACTTTTCTCTGCGTCTTTTTGTGAAGTTCTTTGTGCGAGGCCCTTTATTAATCTCTTCACGAGGAACCCTAAATTGTCTTTTTTTTGGGTTTCGCGATTTGATCGCTTAGAACAACCTTGCAGCAGCACAAAAGAATATGTTTTTGGTTTTATTTAAGTATTCGTACAAAAAAGCATGTTTGCAAGCGACAATTTGTGTCAGTATGTTTAGACAAATTTTCTACAACCCATTATTTCAAGATTAAGATAAAGATATCCCTAGTTGTCCGACAGTGGGGACATTTCTGTGTTGCATCACCAGAACAGCAGGAATGAGGAGCACACAACACAAGGTAAATGAACAAACAATTTTAATTTAGCTTAATGAAGTAGCAAAAATAACATCTCTCACTTTAGCATAATAAGAAGTAATTACTGAGATCCTCCTCCATCACAACTATAACTTTACAATAATAAAGAACCAAGCATAGCAAATAAGTTCTTTAGCTGTTATTGTGTATTGTAAATCATACTGATTGGAGTAAATTCTATGTTACTCTGAAAAGCTCTTGTTTACAGCATTTAGTGTATAGCAGGCGTTGTTTTTGAGAATTGTTCCAAGCCATGATTGCAGATCATGTTGCTGATTGCACCAATAAAGTGGCATTTTGTATTTATGTAACATTTCAAGTTATCCAACAGCAAAAATGAAAATAACAATCCGGGATAATGATACTGTAGTAGGCAATTATAGTTCAGGTGTCCATGGGTTTCAACTTCTTGTTAAATGTCACAGATTTAGTTCTGGGTCTTGTGCCGTAACAATATATAATATAACTTTAAGTTATTGAATTATTGAACTGAATAGTAGCTTCCCCAAACCTGGTCACAGTCAGTTACAAAAACAGTATAATAATAACAGTGTGTGGTTGAAATAATAATATTTTTTTTTGTAGAATGTGGATATATTATAATATTTTGTTTCTTGTTAGCTTCAGGACTTGTCGTCATGGAGAGGTCAGGCTGTTGCTCCTGTGTCAACAATTAAGAACTCAGACATTCTGGTCTAAACTCAGAGACAGGACTCCGTGTTCCAGTACCTCGAGTGATTACAAAAATAATCATAAATAGGGAGCGTTAAAGGCAGCAGAATTATTATATGTTTTTTTTAAATAAAATATTAGGTATTTCCATGGGCTTCCTAATCTAATCCACAGTACAGTGTAACTCTGTTCTGTGTGTGTGTGTGTTTGTGCGTGTGTGCGTGTGTTAGTGTGCGTGCATATGTGAAAGCAAGTGTGCTTGTGTACGTGTGTAAAGTGTTACTTTTCCACTGTAGTGTTTTTGACAAATGTATTTATTTATTGTTTATTTATCTTTTTTCTTCATCAACCGTGTGGAGGAAATGGAAAACATGGAACATTGTAAAGCGCTTTAAGTGACCTTGGTCTGTAAAAAGCGCTATAGAAAATAAACATTACTTATATACTTTCCAGATGACAGTATAACTTTGGGATCATTTGTTGTCCCACAGTCAAACTCACAAAGACAATATATGCATGTGTTTTAATTGTAGGGGAAACCGGAGCCCCCAGAGGAAACTTCAACAAGTGCTAACCACTGCCCCACTCTGCCAATTTTCTAATACATTGTTTTGTCTGTATTGAGTGAGTGAAGGATTTGGACGCTGACAACCGTCCGCTTCATTCACCCTTTTTTCTAGATATGTATTTGCACAGGTTGTTATGTTATTAAGATAAAGATACAAGATGAAAACATACTGCTGCTAATGTACAGATGTAAACATACTGCTGCTAATGTACAGATGTAAACATACTGCTGCTAACATGAACAGATGTAAACATACTGCTGCTAATGTACAGATCTAAACATACTGCTGCTAACATGTACAGATGTAAACATACTAGGGATGTAAATCGGTGACCGGTTAACCGGTGGTTGACCGTCACAGCGTTAACCGGTCAAAGCTGTCGGTTAAAAAAGAGAAAAGGGGGAGAGGGGAGGTCTCTTAATAACGCTATTTTAAGCCCTATTTGCACGATGTGACGAGCGGGTCCCTATCTAGCTGTGTGCGCCAATGTAACAGTAAACTCTGGGCCGACTCTCACGCCATACGCGCCACATATGCACGCACACATGTACACGCACACACACACACACACACATCCCCCCCTCCATTGACACGTAACATCCACACGCATCATCTCTCCCCTCTGTTACCGTCTGCTAGTTGCACACTGGTGCGGGTCAGAACTACATTGGAGCTTATATTTACACACACATACATACATGTATTGCACACACACATAGCTTACATATACACACACACAGACATATACACACATACATACATGTATTGTACACACACACATACCGGTCTGTCGCGCTCCTCTGTGTCACGGAGCCCAAAGCATTCTACAAATACACGGCTCCAGTCAAACCACATGGACCATGTTTGTGCTGCTGGTCCTTGGCATCAGCTCCACACTGATCACTTTTAAACTTTAGCGGAGACCTGCGAGACGCGGCTCGTCACTCGCTGCCCTGACCATGTGGACGAGCTGTCTTTTGCTTAAAAATGCTTTAAGCCGCAGCACAGAAGAATGGGAAGATTAAAACAGCAGTTCTCTGTGCTCAAAGGTGCCGAAGCTGTTGCGGGTTTTGGCGCCGCTGTCTCGGCTCTGATCCATTAGAACGCTCAGCTGCACTTATGAAAAGTACGCGGCTCGAAATGGCTGTTATTTCAAAGAACGTGGACTATTTTAAACTACGCGGTTAACCGGTTTCAACCGGTTAATGAGGCTCGGTGGTCGGTCATGAAAATTCATAGTTTTTTACATCCCTAAAACATACTGTTGCTAACATGAACAGATGTAAACATACTGCTGCTAATGCACAGATGCTAACATATAATTACACTTTGCTTGCCCTAGAATAAGAATACACAGTACTTTATACTTGCCTCTTATTGTCAAATGTAAAACTTTTATAATTATTTTATTATTATTTTTCAAGATAGAGATTTTAGTATTTTATTGATGCAAGAGTTAGAGATTTTGTATTGTTTTCATTAGTATAGCTATTGTTCACTTAACTTGTGCCGTGTGCTCTTTCCTACTGTTCTATACTGTAACTTGTGATGCAACACTGAAATTTCACACTATTTTGACAAGTTCTGAAATATATTTTATTTTTTTGTTTTTGATAATATTTTGATTATACACCCTCCACACCCTCTTTACTCTACTGCAATCAGGACGCAGATCAGAACATTAAGGTGGAACCGGGCAAGATTTAGCAAGAGTGTTGTCCCTTTAGCCATAGCTGCTCTTAACAGTCTGTAATCCTGCCCTTATTTCCTGTATTGCATGTGTTTCTTTCTGTGTTTTCTGTGTGTATCCTTTGTGTATTGAAACTTCCTTCTTCCCTATTCTATGTATGTGACAGATGAATTTAACATAAAGAAAAAAAATCAAAATCCATAAAAAAAAAAAAGTGTTGAATAGCACCACCACATGTATCTCACAGAGCCACAGAGTAATTGAGGCAGAGGTCAGTCGCAGCTGAGTTCCCACAGCGACACACGGGATTTACAAAACGCCTGGTATTTTAGCACAAACTTTTGGGGCCCATGCATTATTAATCTGCTTAAATAATTTTTGGATCTCCTTGAAGCGCAGATCCCAGAGCAAATGATTCAGTGCAGCCCGAAGCCAAAGCGGTTCATCTGATATCAGCGTGAATCTTGCTCACTTTAAATTGGCAGCACTAAACTTTGACCAGACAGGCCCAGCACATTTTCTGCTTGTAGGTAATGACTTGAAATAACCTTGCCCTCCGATCAGTCTTTATTTTGCATTTACTTCTCTGCTTTAAAGTCAGTTTTTGTGCGGTTCCTATATACCTGGAGGTCACATTTAGTTCAAAAATGAAAGTCTTTGAATCATATTTTCACTTCCATCTGAGTGCACATTTTTAAGACAAGAGCCGCAATACCACACTTATTCAATTATATATATATTTTCAATTTTAAATCATTCCTGTTCTGTTCAAAACTCTCTGCTTGCCCAGTATTATGTAATGTATACACTATGGGATGACAAGTATATACAAAATATACTTCCCATAGATACCATCCAAGCCTAAATATTTAATCTTGCCAGCACTACCATATTTCTATACAAATCTATTATTGTAACTAGGCTACATTGTTCAATATTTCATTGCTCATTGCTTTCAACTTCACTGCTATTATTTTATTGTTTTTCAGTCATTTACACTACATTTAGTTTTTCCCCGCAAGATAGTCTTTAGAACAATTTACCAGATGAAAAAAAAAAGTGTACGTGTGCGTGTGCGTGTGCATGTGTGTGTACATGATATCCCTGCAATATCATAAATCACAATATAACCAAGTTAGATTATTAATTAATAACACCTAATACGCAACAGTGGCTCAGTTGGTAGAGCAATGGCCTTTGAGCCTGAAGGTTGTGGGTTCGAGCCCACCATAAGACCTATGTGACACCCAGTGATGACTGCTGTCATTGTGTTCTTGGGCAAGACACTTAACCCCACTTTGCCTGAAGCCACCGCTGAAAGATGAAGGCTCCTGTGGACTCACCACCTGCAGGAGGATCAGTGAGGGGCTGGTGCTCTGTGTACTGGGTGAAGCTCTGACTCTGCCACCCCCCTGACCCAGAAATGGATAAAAAAAAAATAAAAAATTTCTAAATACTTTCTAGAACTGATCATACAAATACTTAAACTTAAATGATTTTATAATACATTTTTGCTCCATTACTCCATTGAACATACCTCTCATCCTTTTTCTCCTTTAAAAAAAAAAACACATTTCAATATTAAACTACTCTCCATAATTGTACAGTTCGTTCCTCATCTTGATCCCAAACCATTTTTCTGCAATTAAACCCTGCATCCCTCGTGTGTTTTGTTCTTGTTTGTCGCCTCTTCTGAGAAACTGAATGTGGCGTGGCACTTTTGTGTAATTTGGTTTAATTTCATCCAGCTGTAAGCGGCGCCTCCATTTCATTTGCTCTGAGCACTGTGTCCATCAAGCACACTCCACAGTTTCATATTGCCAGCCCATATCTTTGAGTGGCCTTCGTTTAGGCACTTCTCCTAATTTATTCGTCTTGTTTATATGCGTCTGTACAGGTCCAAACTGTCAATAATAATGAAGACAGCGTGCTTAAGGCGGAATCCATTTTTCATTTGCTTCCATTAAGAATAAAGGTTACAAATACTACAGTGATTGGGGGAGGATTAGGGAAAATGAACAAGGACATTTAGAGAAAGAACGATGGCATTATTTCTGGCCATTACCAATAATAATTAGCCTATCTACTTGAAGAATTTGAAATAAATCTGATGTAGAAAATATCTGTGTGAAGGGTAAAAACAATGTTAGCCACCTGTAACTCCATATGCTACCACCAGGGAGAGGAGTTGAAATTACTGCCTACAAATAGATAGATTAAAAAATAAGTCATTTTGCTTGAGGAATTACCAAAAACTAATCTAGAAGCAATACCTCGAATGTAGACAATTGCAACAAATATTACAGAAGTGAGACAGGAGATTTTAAAGAGATAGTGCCGAAAGATTTCCTCTGTGTTGCATTTTTCTGGCCATTACCAATTATATCAAGTCTATTTACTTTTAGAATATGAAATAAATCTTATGTAGAAAATATCTGGTGAAACAAGTGTGAAGGGTAAAAACAATGCTAGCCACCTGTAACTCCATATGCCACCACCAGAGGGAGGAGTTGAAATTTCTGTCTGAAAATAGATACGTAAAAAAACGAATCTATAGGCAACACTATCACAGAACTGAGACAGGAGATTTTAGAGAGTCAGGGCCGAGTTTGTCAAACATTTTCCTCGATGCTGCATATAAATGTCTTGACCTCATTTGTGCAGAAGTCAAGCAAAAGTACATATTGAATATTACTTGGGGACATATTAAACTATTTCTCCACATACACAGATGTGGAGTGCCTCGGTTTGAACTCTACATCACGCTGTGTTTGTGTGCAAGACAAAAACCCCTTCATTTTCATATTTTCCTTTAACAAAGAAATATTAAAGGAGAATGTTTTTGTTTTCAGATTCAGACGACTTAAAAAAATATGGTTTTAGTTGGTTGATCCTGGTGTTTTTTGCTTATTTTTATTTTGATGTTAATGTTAATGTTAATCTCAATTTGTCCCCAAACAACTGACCAAACAGATGCCAATTCTAGATCCAAGTTGTTGATTGCTCGGCCGTTGCTACCTCACACATTTACATACATTTTGCTGCCATCAGTAAAACACTATGGATGACATCACCTCTCGGTTTGTCCAGAAACACAAAAGATTTTCAATGAGAGTCTGATAAAACCAAGACAAAATAGTGGACTTGCCAATAACATGACATATTATACCATAATAATTAACTCTTTATGCCCCAAAGTAGCTACATTTCTACATGAGCTCCTGAATCCCGGACACTTTCTATACAGTCAACTGTCTTCCCAGAAAAAGTCTCGATACTTGATATTAGTCAATTACAAAGTGTGGAGAGAGCTGCAGGGTCAGTGAGTGTTTTGGGCCAAGTGCGTGTATGCATGTCTTGGTCTTGTCTTGTCTCTTGCCGTCAGTGTTAATATGAATGTTTGTGCGCGTTTGTGTGTTATCCCTGTCATACACTGTAGAGTATTGCTCTTGTTTTTGTATTGTATTGTCTTGTGTGTCTGAATGGCTGGGAGGGGATTGGATTAATATATGCTTTTTGCTACACTCAATCCCTTTCCAAACCATCTACAGTAGGCTAACCCTAACCCTTTTGCTATTTTTCTGTGAATAATTGTTTGAATACCTTGTCAATTGAGCTAAAAGTAATTGAATTGAATTGATATACTAAATAAATGACATTAATTAATTGTAAATGTAAATGCCCCACTAAGTTTCAGGACTCAGAACCCAAAAGAAAAAAGCTTTCAATTGCCTATGTATTTTCCTATATAACGTAGTTTTAAGATGTCATTTCTTATACCTTTCAGTCCATGTCTGTCTGTGGCCTACTCTTTTTGGCATCAGTTTACCTCCCTGTCCCAAACCAGCCTCGTTCCTCGTTTAATGTTTGTCTGAGAGAAGCCCCTCGGAGCACGGCCCCCCGCTGACCACTAACACCATCAATGTTTTGTTATCAAGAGCGTGCTCAAGTGTAATTACCCTTCTCCCTAAGGGCAGAGCTGGGTGCCTGGCACTGCCCTCCTGTGTTCACCAATAAACAAATAGAGACCCCTTTTAACGTCTGGACAGCGGCCAGTGTTTGTTCTACAGCTGATAGTGCGCCCAGTATATTAGTCACCTCGCCAAACGACACCAGCACCCAGTTGTCCTCACATCTGTGGGGAAATACACTCCTGGAGCCAGATTGCTGCAGCCCAGTCCACATTTTTACCATACATGCAGAGCAGAGCTGTAACCGGATGAACAATGTAATAGGATTATATACATCGAATAAACAACACAATTGTGGGGAGGACATTATGTGAGGCCATTTAAATAGATTATAATCAAAATCCTATTTAAATATAAAGGGATTACTGAATTATGTCTCCTGGAGTGTATTTTCAAGGTTTAGAAGATGTTGTTTATTATTTTTTCTCATAATTCATTCATTCAATAAGATAATCTACAGCACAATAGCACTTCCATGATTGGTAATAATGTAACGCCAACAGCTTGAACATAAATATGCCGGAGTTAGAACCATAGCTGGATATCATGCTCCTATCATTTTGTTAGAGGGGAGAGAAATATGAACACAGAGCCAAGTTATGTTTACCATGATATTGTATTGTGGTGTAATTGGATGTCTAATCTTCCAAAAATTTAGGAAGATTAGACATCCATCCTTTTCTCTCCAACAAAATGGAGCTTAACTTTTTTTAATTCAACCTTTACTGTCTTTATCCAAACAGAAGTTGTCTTGTAAATGTAAAATCTGTACAAATCAAACCACGACATGCTCTGTTCATATGAGAGAACACTTTATTTATCTTTTTCATTCTTTGTGACAGTTGTGTGTTGATTCCCAAAGCAGAGGCAAAGATGTGGTTTAATTTACCATCAAAATTATTTGTTTCACACAACAAATAAAAGAGATAGAAAAGCAAGCGGGCAGAGAAGACAGGGAGCCGGCTGGAAATATAGACCTGAACACCGGACACACAGAAACTGGAAGTAATGACAACATTACAAAAAGTAGGAAAAAAAAATCATCGGCTGATTGAGGACACAAACTTGTGACATGGGATGATCTTGCAAAGAAGTGGAGTCTGAACCAGAGTAGACCTGCAGAATGGGCGTTTTTTTGTTTTTCGGTCATTGCACAGATTATATGGATATTATTAAATTGATACAGTTTTTTGAGGTTTGAATGATAATTTCCCTAGCTCTGAAAACTGTTCAAACATTAATTCAGAGTTACAATTTCTCTGAGGACAATGTGTAGTTAAATTAACAAGATGGCTGCATCAGATTGAGCTTGATGATACTTTCCATCTGTAGTTCTTGTACCCCAAGAGGCCCCCGTGCCACTGGTTGCGAAACTCTACCATATGTGGCATTAGACCAATTCCTTGTATACAATCCCCACAGTGCAAAGACAAAGAGAAGGTCACATTGAGAAGGCTCACTGGAGTTTTGTGAGTGTAAAAAATACAAGCAAGCAAAAATATGAAATCAAAAAAGCAATGTTCTTTTGATATCCATATGTAAAGCTCCAGACCCTGGGCTCATGCCTCCATAAATAGTTAATGTGTATTCAAATTAGGAATTTTAATTTGGACCAATGCTGAATACTTAATTACTAATGTGGTTATTGAAGGGCTTTAAGTAATGTGGTTTTTCTCTTTTCTAATGTCTAATATCTAATGTTTGTGAGTGTATATGGCTAATGTTTTATGGTGAGCATGCTTTTGAAATTGTGTAAACTTGTAAATTATTTTTGGTCTACACCTAATATACTGATTATTATTGCAGGACATGTATAAGGAATATTTCACATTGAATTCCTAAAAGAAATCTGCGTTGTAACTGTGTCAGATTAATTATCAATTCATCAATAAATACCCCCTGTAATCCAACTATCCAACTAGCCACGAGCCTTTATTGTCCATTTTAAACATGTTACTGCTCGGAACTGCAGATCAACATGCATCTCAGAGCTTACGAACTGAATGCCGACACATTTCGTCCCGCACAATGGACGCACAATAAACTGTGGGCACACACGTTATGAGTGCAGCTGGATGAACGGCCAGATGGTTGCGGTGTATATCTTGCTTGTGCATACCGTCCTCATTCCCTATTCAGATTTTACACTCATGTCTAATTAGGAGCAGCTCTTTCTCTCCACTCATTATCAGTGTTTGACCTTTTGCATGGGCTGTTTGAGAAGCTGAGCGGCCGTCGATGGGTGGTCCGCGATAATAACTTGTCATTTAGCTCATTGCATGCTGATTAAATAAGATAGGACCACGCCAGCAGCCTGTTGTTCCCAAGAGGTTGCCAATCCAGTCGAGCACCTACAGTAAGTGTAAGGATGCTTGGAGAACAATAAACTGCAAAAAGCCAAGTGAGCGGCGACAACATGCATGAGATCAAACACTGTGACTTTCCCCCTTCTTTCAAATTTTACCCAGTCTCTTTTAAGCAGAGTCTCATTGGCATGAATTAATAATAGAACTTCAAACAGATGCAAATCCATTGTGCTGTGTCCTCTGCTCTGACAATCGCAGAGGTGTGTAGGCGCCTCTGTCTGAATCTGTTGTTGTGATTAATTCTCCGGAGAACACTGCTCCTCAGCCGAAACAGGACTCACCCGGCCTTTTGTACCTCCAAGTATTGTGGACTGTATTTACATAATGTATATTGATCCCTGGGACACTGGAGAACAACTCGAGAGCTGTGTTCGTGCATTGAAATGAACTAGTAGTATTTAGGAGAATCTTAATTTCGAAGTCGTTCTGATAAAGTAAACACATGTTTAAACATCTGCAGTGCTCAAACTCACAAAAAGTGCTTTCAGTGTGCCTTTTATAGCTGCATCTATGTGTGGGCTGTTGTAGCATGCATAAAATATGTCTTTCTCAACAGGTCCGTACTGTGGAGGAGTTGGCTGCAGGGGGAGGGAAGGCCAGGGGATATCTAATATTTGGGCAGCTGACAGCTGTGAGCCTCGGAGTGGGAGTCTTGGAAATGGGAGTGGGAGTCATGGCGTTTGAAATGCAATGAGGTGCGTTTGAAAGGCGCTGCTGTCACAGGTACGCGGCAGCCGAGCGGGTACTGAGCTGATAAAAGGAGAAGAGAAGTGGCCCAGCTTTAGGGTGGCATGTGCTATCTGAGGGCTTTTTGCAACGAAAGCACTCAGCACTGCACACTTAAACACAAAGGCTCCAAAATATATACTTTGATCTGTTTGGGATCGTCCTGAGGTTTGAGGGGTCTGAATAAGGCTGCCTTACTTTTGGGACCAAAAAGGGCACACCTGCTTTGATAAAAGAGTCTATATGTATTTATTTATTTTTATTATACAGTAACATTATTATACAGTAACAACATTGGAAGCATCAAAGATATGTGCAAGGAAATATTGTATTTTGACTCAGACTAGAGAAAGAGTGAATATTATCCCATATTGAATGTTCTTCATTCGCATTCAGACACAAATTGACTTAAAAATCATCATGTCCATTTATAAAGCCCTTGCACCATATTTCTGATTTGCTTGTGCCTAATGAACCTGTTCTTTCTTCTTATTCTACTTCTACTTATCTTTCCTCTTCTATTTTCTTCTTCACCCTAAAAAATGTACTTTGTCCTGTAACAAGCAGATGACTGTGAAGTGAAAAACACAAAGGCTCTTATTTTCCCTTTTGTTATCTTTGTAACAGTGTGCACCTGTGATAGACAAAAAAATAAAGTTCTCAAAAGCCATGAGAAAAAAAAAAAGATTGAGCCGTCCAAGGTGATACTGACTGCTCTTGACGCACTCCTCACTGGCATGCATAGTCCCTGGATAAAGATATGCTTTATAAATCAATAATTCCCCAATCACGTGCGTCGCTGCTGCAATGTCCTCCCTGTATCCTCGCCATGTGTCCTCTGCCTCCAGCTCCAACTCACTCTGGCGGCTGTCAGCGCAGAGATGGTCGGAATATTAGTCTCTTTCAAATCCCTCCAGTTTATACATGTGGATTTATGTTGAATTTATGAATGTCGTGCCCTTTGAGGAGGATGACTAATTACCAGAGAACAGCGGACGTGTCAAGGATGTGCAGTTACAAAGCCGTTTTATCTGTCAACACTTTGAAAGCAAGTTTAAGATCAGGACTTTCTCAGACGAGTCCATAGTGGCTGATTAATCCATTCAAAAAGACCTCACCTTTCAGGCCATATTGAACATTGATGGCTTTAAATAAGACAGACTTTGAGAATTATGTATGAAATGAGTGACAAAAATCCATAGGGACAAAATCCATGCTGTATTAATCTTCTCTGAAAAAAAATGCAAACATGAGAAGTATGCATTATTGGCAGTCGGCAATGACTGGGAACGTTTAAGTTCCCGAGATTTAACTCAATCTAGTTCCTACATAATTCAATGTATCCAATCAAATAGTGTCTTTGTTCTTCCCCCCAAAATCTGCTTTTCAATCTGGAGAGTGTCAAACAGAATATGGTATTAATAGAATTGTATATTGGTTGGCAAGGATCTAGACACTAATGAATTACACATATGACTCTGAGGACAATATTATCAGGATTACATTTATTGTGCTGTACCAAATGTGGTTAGAATGTGGCGCTTAGACCCCTGCAGAGCACTGCACGATTGCAGAAGGGGAAAGAGATTATGAGATTAAATCCCCCTAGATACTGGTGGTGGTATTTTAGGAAAGGAATGAAAGAGCTGGCCTGGAACGAGGCAAAGATGGGGAGGAGGAGGGTTGCAGCGTGAAGGAAGCTGCTGCTTGGATGGAGCTTCCTGCTGATATGAAACTGATGCGGACAGTGCCTGATTACTGCAGGTGAGGATGTACGTGTGACGCTGCAGCTGAGTGTGACTGACTGATACTGTTGCAGTGAAGAAACAGCAGGAGGACTTTGAGAAAGGTGAGCCTGGTTCTTCCTGTCTTCCAGTTTACCTTCATCTCACAGTGTGAAACATCTCACAGTGTGAAACATCTCACAGTGTGAAACAATAATTTTCAAACTCTGAAACTCTTTGCTTAAAGCTGAAGTACATTTTGAAATGTATATTTTTTAAATCCTAAATAATACATGTTGTTTAACCTACAAAAAGAGTATTGTACAATTAAAATAGTTCAAAATAGCTTTGGTCTGAGAGCTGATTCAGAGAGAAAGGGTGATCCTCACTTTTCCGTC